TTAGTAAAAGGGCAATGATTTTTCAAAAATACTGATGTTGAACTTCATATTCTAACTCTGTTAAAATCAGTTGCCATGGCGATGGAGATAACACCCAGCTGTACATCACCCTGTCACCAGGAGATTATGTAGGTACACAGCCTGCAAAAAAAGATGACTTTGATCGCAGTATTAAGCTAGCTGCTGTTTACCACCCGCCAAAAAATAAATAAACAAAAAGAAATGGTAAGAAAGAAGATTTGCAGTCGCAGCAGGCTCAGCGTCATGTCTGCTAGGGAGTTTGTTGGTTGTGGCCGTGGGCGTGAGCGTGAGCGCAGGGAGGATCCATCACACTCACCTTCATGCTCACCATGATGGGGATGAAGTCTGGAGGAGTACAGTTTCATCCTGTGAACCCCCTTTCAGACCAAAAACTGTGCCAATACACCATTATACAGTAGCTGTAAATGAGAAACCCGTTCAGCGGTCATCTGGAACATGTCAAATACCTTGATGTGTGTTGGAGATAAGTTCTTGATAAGTTACGCATAAGTTATGCACAAGTTACTCATAGGTTTTGGATAAGCTAGACACCATGACTTATAAGTAACTTAAACTTAATGTATGTCAACGATCAAATAACTTACCTGTAACTTATGCCTCATGTATGAGCATACGCCCCACCTATGAGCATATGCTGGCAAACCATACGTATGCGCCGTATGTCGACGTGTGCCAGCGTGTTTCAGAGTGCTTAGGCGTGCTCATAATTTGGACAAGACATAACCAAAACCTATCCAACGTACGCCAGCGTTTTTTCAAGATTTTTTGTACATCAGGAATAAGCTGGCTAAATCGTCAAGGTGTGACAGGGGCTTTACCTCCAAAATAAATTACAGACTGGTTGACAGTGGATCAACAGCCATCTCTACTGGATCAGAACCAGAACCAAACATGGAGAAGCAGCTTTTAGTTCTTCTGCTCCACTAATCATAAAATAAACTCATAGAAAACTAGAAAAGTGCTGAAACCCTCACTTACTAAACCAAAATTAAAAAGCTATTTGTTCAGAGCGGCCTTTGACTGAGCCATCTAAACATTATTAAAGTTTTCAATTTGACTTTCCTTTCATTTTTTAAATAATTTTATCTAAATAATGACCTAATTTAAGTCCTTTTTCTCTTTTAATGTCTATGTTTCCTTTATTAACACACGGTTAAGTTTAATTTAGCACCAACCAAATCAAAGTGTAAAAATATTTTGTTTGTTGTATATTTTTGAAAATGATAAGTATGATAGAAATTGTATTGCAAAGCATGTTTTCTGAGCACCCTTTCGCCCTGGAGAACCTCAGCCAATCATATTTGTTTGTGTTTCTTTCACACGCATTTCTCTGTCTTTCATCATGTGTTGCAGTGGTCAAGTTTTATTACACCTTTTTGTATCAAAAACCTCTTCACAATAAGAGGCACAGGTGGTTGAGAAATGTTTCTTAAGGAATGATTTCAACCCCTTTGAGCATCCTGCTCTCTGGACCCTTTTATCCTGCCTCGCTTGTCACATTTAAACTTGTTTTCTATTTTTCACTGTGAAATGATGCTATTTTCATTAAAGATTCGGCAAATGGAGAAAAAAAAAACATTTAAAAGTAAATGTTAATTCAAAAAATGTTCTTCATTTCTTGGGTGTTTTACTTTTCTCTCTATTCCTTCAGATATAGAAGGATCCCACATGAAGTCCCATCCAGTGCAATTGTGATAGCTTATACTGTAGATCCCGGTATCAGCTCTGTTCCAGGTGAAAGAATCGGGGTAGTTTTGTATTGTTTCGTTTAATGGTGAAAAAACTTTACACTTAATAATCGACAAGTAGCTGGTTGATATGCAGAGAAGACAAAAAACATTTTCCAACGTTTTGAAATGTGGATGTAGCTTTAAAAATTTAACGCTACATCCATGTAAACAGCGGAAATTAGAACAGATCTAAGAATTGTTTTTTATTACATCTAAATAACACATTTTTTCACAGTTATTTTCTTGTTAAATGTTAAATTTACATCCATTTTAAATAAAATCAATGAATAAAGACCATAAACACATATGGGACTGATATATGCAAATACTACTTATATTTATATGAAAGCCATCCTGTTCACTTACATTGCACTTTGCGATTGTAGGGAACTAGACCAATGCCAGCCAACTTTATGGTGTATCTTTTAAAAGATGCATCATCCACGTGTCTCTGTAACTCTCTCCAGCACTTAACAAAGCCATGGCTCCCATGAAATGATGAATAAATAAAGGCCTCAGTTGTGGCATCATAATGCTATTCTTTTGTAAGGCCACCTACTGGTATCCTGCCAAAATGAAGCATTCCTGAGTCATTTCCTTTTCCAGCTTTGTGGGAACCATCTGTTTTCTTTAAATTCATGTTTAATCATTTTAGGAGAAAATAAAAAAAATAAGTCAGCATTCAGACCTTTTTCATGCTCCTTTAATTATGAAAGGGTAAACATGAGATGTTTGGATGCTGTGGTTGTCCTGTGATGTTTGGTCGGTCTTGAACGTGTTGTTCTGTTAGAAAAAACATTTATGTGAATGAACTGAATCAAATGACTCTCATTAACTGATCGGTTACTTTCTGAGTTGAGTTCAAATCATCCCAGGTTGGTAATGTGGAAACCAGCATGCGCTGGTTTGATCCATGAACCTATCCTGTCCTTATTCATGCAGTACACAAATCCTCCTGAGAGTAGCGCTGTTTCAGCTATTCACATAATACACCAATGAGGTCAGACAGAGAAGATATGATCTGTACATAACACTGTGATTTATGTCATTGCTTTTCCCAGCTTTAATCTGGAATTTTTTCATATTTAAGAGTTTTTTTATTATCTAAAAGTCACCATAAATCAATTTTTTTAATTTTCTTTATCTGAAACAACTAATTTCTGGTTGGCAGAACTTTAAAATTATGAGTCTGAGAAGAGTCATAATCTTGGTTTTTCACCAATTTCAGCTGTTAAAGTACTTAAAAGTCTATTAAAACTGCATGATTAGCTCACTTATCATCACTATAACAAAGCTTATAGCCTATTATAAAAGTAACGGAGCAGAAAATGCAGTTAAAGCTCTTTAAACAACTCACCATGTGACCAAAGCAGCTTGTTTTTTTCTGTAAAACCAAAACTGAGCTTAATATGAACTGAATGATTCAGTGATCACATCTTTTTAGGGAATCATTTTAATGTGAGGGAGTCAGTTCCCTCAAAAAGACTGTCGTCCTGATCCCTAGATTCCCGGTTTCTGATACAATAGAAAAAAAGATACACAAGCAGCAGCACTTACCAGCTGCCTGCAGGTGAGTCCCTGATTGGTAGAATAGTATG